ATCATAAAATGTGCGTAGCGCTTTTGTCTTTTAGGAAAAAACCAGATCAGGGGAGAGGATTTTATAAATTAAATACATCATTGTTAACACAAGGTCAGTTTAAACAATATATAAGAGATGTTTGGGCATTTTGTCATACCACTAGAAATAGACATGATTCGTATGAGGAATGGTTTAACAATGCTCTTGCCTTCGTTGCTGAAAAATGCAATGAATTTTCGAAACTTCAGGCTAAAAACAAATATTTACAAGAAATGAATATTCAAGAACAAATTCTTCAATACGAACTAACAATTCAACCTGATAATCTACCTCACCCAGTCGATATTCAGAATCTTAAAAATCAATTGTTATCCTTTGCTCAACATCGTTGGCAAGGACATCTATTCAGAGACAAACTAAAAAAGTTTGTGACAGAGGGTCAAAAGGATGCTACATTTTTTGCACTAGCGCGATCACGTTCACGACGCTTTTCCATTGACGGCTTTATGGACCCAGGGGGGTCTGATACCGTTTTGTCCCCCTCTTCTGCAAGTAGTCTTAAAATCGCTTATGATTTTTACAAAAATATTTTCTCCTCCTCTATGGATCCGGGAATAAGAAGGGAGGATAGTACTGCAATTACAAATTTCCTACAACCTATGACACAAGCGCTTTCTCAGGAGTGGAGGGATTCTCTTGACCGTCCGTTAGTTTTGGACGAAATATGGACGACGCTTTTACAGATGGATGGAGATAAAACACTAGTAATTGATGGACTTCCAAAAGAATTTTGGTAAACTATGTGGTCATTATTCGCAACAGATTTGATGAAGTTCTATGATTCAATACAGGAGTCTGGCCTGATGGGGGAGTTAGTGGGACAAGGTATTCTCACTTTCCTACATAAAAAAGGAGATAAAACAAATATCATAAATTATAGGTCAATCACCTTGCTGTATGTGATGTATAAAATGTTAGCTAAACAATTAGCCAATCGTTTGATTCCAGTTATGGCCGACATTATTCATCCTTCACAAACTAGTTTCATTAATGGTAGACATATTAAAGACAATATTTTGCTTATTAATGAAATGGTCAAATTGTCTAGGCAATCCAAACAAAACGCAACTTTCATTTTTATTGATTTTGAAAAAGCTTATGACCATGTTTTTTTAGGCATGCCTAGTAAAAATGAATTTTGTCTCAACTTGAGAAAATGGGTTCGTATCCTTCACACTAATACCACGACAAAAATCCAAGTAAATGGGCTTCTCTCTCCAGGGATTAAGCTACAAAGGTCGGTCAGGCAAGGAGACCCATTGACTCTATTCCTTTTCTTAATAATTATGGAACCACTAGGGATTAACCTTAGAGCGAATTCCAATTTACAATGACTACGTGTCTCGGGTATTCCAGAAGAAACCATTCCAGTTTGCTCCATGTTTGCACATGATCTCACAGTCATGGTTGATGCAACATAGGAATATATGGCAGAAATTCAATCTTTAATAGATAAATTTTTACAAATCTCAGATATGGTGGTCAATTGGGGCAATAAAACTCAGGGTTGGTGGATCCATTCCACGGGGGATAGGCCTCCAAGCCCTCCAGAACAACCTAGAGTGAGATGGTTACCATTAGACGCCCCAATTCGCATCCTTGGTGTTTCTTTCACATGACTCATGATGATTGGGTGTCGAAACCGACAATTGATAAAATGCATCAATGGAAGAACCGCCATACCTCCGTATTTGGGAGAACACTCATTATCAATAATGTTATTCTGGCATCCATATGGTATAAATCTGCTCTGTGATCCATAAGTAACACATGCACCAAAATCCTGCAGAGACAGGTCACAGCGTTTTTATGGAGAGGTAATCATGATCAGGATAAGGTAATCCCTAGAGTGGCTTGGCGGTACTTAATTCAACCCAAAGCTAGGGGAGGTCTAGGGATACTTGATCCTAATCTGCAGTACCAAGCCATTGTCATACAATGGATAAAAAAACTAATCCTATCCTCTGATTTACCTTGGAAAGTTATGACATTTGAACAGATTCGTAGGCTAGCACCAGTCTCAAGTGAGGATATACATCCTCTTTCATGGGTTGAAGATCGTTTTTGGATCATCCCCAGAGCAAAGATATGGGGAAGTGGAGAGGGAGAAAGGGAGGAAGCAAGGAGGGATATGACCTTCGATAATATGTGGGTAAATCTATTAAAAATATGAAGACGCCTACCATTACCTGATAGACCCTTTCCTACTAGATACGAGGAGATCCTTCGACAACCACTTTTTGGTAACAGATGGATCACTGACTTTAATGGAAGTATCCTTAACAGTTCTTCCCCTCCTTAGAGTCAGTGGGTAAAACAGGGGGTTAAAAGACATATGGGATTCAGGAAGGAAAGATTGGAAAACGGAGGATCTGTTTAGGCTATCCCTTCGATATGCTCATCATCTTAATACAAGTTTGGAACAGATAATTTTCTCCATACCCTTAGCCTGGGTATCAGCCCTCAAGAGAGGGCCCAAGATCAAGGAGGGTGATTGGGTGGTAGGTGTCCAGACCAATGGGCAGCACGTATTAAGACAGGTGGTTCACAAAACCCAGCAGGGGGCTTTTGTGAACACTTGCAAAACAAATAGAGATTTTTTCTTGATTCGGTCTTAGATTAGATGCGGTCGAACTGTTCTCATTCATACAATTGTATCGAATCAAGGTCCTCTTCATTTCTTCAATCAAAGGGTGGAGAGCTTTTCATCTGGAAATACCCATCCCGGAACTCCCACTTGATCCAACGGAGTGGATATGGCATACTTCCAAGAAAGGACAACCCAGATCATTACAATCACTAACGGTAAAAGCGGTCTATCGGCTACTAAGACCGATAGTGGATATTTATGCAATCCTTTGGGAAAGATGGGCTAGGCAGTGGGTACCTTAATCTGGATATAAACCCAATTAAAAAGATAATCAGACAGCGCCCAGCCAAATTTTCTTCACTGCAATGGCAAATTGCTCATCGATGTCTACCTACTAATGATTGGATCATAGATCGCACCTCACTGGAACAAAAAGGTTTGGCCCTTCCCTGGTGCAAGTCATGTGTTTCGAACTTTCCCAGCAAAAGATGTCGGAAAACTATTGAACATATTTTTATGCAATGCCCTGGTTCGGTTCTATTATGGAGGAGATGGGACTACGTTTGGAGGGAACTCACTGGTTTGGATTGACCTGGGACTGGAAAGCCATTCTTGTAGGCCATTGGTTCCCACAAGACATCATACAAACTGCTTTTCAATCTAACTTTTTTTATATTGGTAGAAAAGCGGTTGTTTGAGTCCTATGGTATAAACGATGTGTCCTTGAAAGAGAAAATGTATCACTAGAGGGATCTGAAGTTTCTGAATATATTATTCAATTCATACAAACGGAAATTCGAGCTCATTGGGATGTGCTATGCTCTAAATTATACAAATTTCAAAGGAAAAGAAGTGAAGTGGCCAGGGGGAGAAGGGTCGGAAGTCTCCTTCAAAAGAGATTTCCAGCTCTATTTCAAAAACTGGTTCTCACTACGACTAGGAGCCTCACTCAGGGACCCCAGAGATTTTGCAGATCCCTTTCCCTCATCACATCTAGCGCTGGTAGAGATACCTTAATCTTGTGCAGTAAGGAAGATTTTTTGATGTAATTGCTTGGTTTGTCATGTTAGATCTGGCGGCTATTAATGCTGAAGAGGCAGACATCTTTTTCATTATACTGGTCAGATCATGATTCTGATTACTAGCAGAAAATCATCAGCTTTAGCATCATCATCATCATCCTTATCATCAAATGTTGGTTACTCCGGGTAGACTGTGAGGACCCCGGCCTCGATGTTCTCAAAAATCAATACAAGCCTTGGGCACTGGGCCTGTTTTATTACCAAAAAAAAAAAAAAAAAAAAAAAAAGGTTAAAAAAAACCCTACAAAACCCTACAACTCCCCTTTTTTTTCCCCTCGTAATTTTCGGGCATGAAAAAGATGTTGGGACTTCGCGGCCACTGCCTGACCGCCAGAGGTCGAGGCCGCGGGCCGAGAAAAAACCCGTTGTGATGACCGAGGGTGACACATAGCCTCCCGACCTTCCTCAGCAGCTTCATACGTCCGATCCGCAAATCAAGAATGCTCTCTATCGATGTCCATTCCCAAGATCATGTGATCCCTCTGCATTTACATTACATCTTCGTCTAAGTGCATGCAGGGTAACTCCAAAACAAGTTTCATTAATCCGTCATCCAGGCCATGATCCATCGTATCCTCTTTTTGAAGATTGTATTTCTGAAATGTCCTGCGGAATGAACTCTGAGAAATAATGCTGAAACACCCCGACGTTCATCCCCTATATCTTCGAGTTCTTGTTTGGAATAATGTATCCGGTCCGGAAAAGGGACTGATACACAGATCGAGAATGGACAGACACAGGGACCTGCATTATGCTCATCCGCTCGGTTGGTACCGGGAATAGCTAATATCGGGTCACCAACGGCGGGCGGCGGCAGCGGCGATGCGCTATTCTCAGCGCTAATTCTAGCGCTAATTTTTCCCTCCTAGCGCTAATCCCTAGGGATTAGCGCCACGGTGAGAAAATTAGTGCTAGGGTTAGAGGAAGTAGACGCCCATAGCCACGGCTTAAGGATGAAGCGCTTGGAGCTTGGTCCGGTGCGCAGTAAGGAGGGGATCCTAGCCCGTGTATGATTATCAGCTGGGTGAAACTTCGTGCTATGGAGGAGAGGAGGTCGCTTTTGATCGGAAATCACAAGTTCCTACCAGAAGACTCGGAGCTCCTGCTGTGCCTCGTCGAGTTCGCTGTTTGACGGTGGTTGGGTAACCTTGATTCAACAAGACCCCTCGACATCGACCTTAGGAATGTCCCAGTAACCTTGTTGATGCAAGCGTCAGTAATTTATCGTCCGATATAGGACCTAGGTTCTAGAGGTTTAGCTTCGTTGTACGCGTTACGCCAACGTTTTCGGACCCTGTTTCACCACACCTTTGAACCATTCGTTTTGACTTGACCCTGTCGGCCAGACTAAATTACAAAAAGCTGCTAGTAGTCGACATGAGGGAGTACGGTTACGTGGAGATTGAGGTCGACTGCGCAGATATGCCATGGTGCAGTCTTTGCAGAACGTTCTTTCACAAGGACTCGGACAAAGAGTGTCCTCGGAGCGAGATATACAAGAAAGCGGTAGCAAAAGAGAAGGGAACAGGGAAAGAGAAAGAAGAGATAGAAGAGAAGGGGAAAGGCAAGGAAGCGAGAAAAGAGAAGGAAGGTGACCCTAACTTTCAGGAGAAAGTTGGGGAGAAGGAGAAGGAAACGGAAAAGCCCCCCCCACAGCCCAGCCCCTCTCCAACCGAGCGTACTTAAAGCTATCAAAGAAAGTCTGACGTCAGAAGTGAAAGAAAAAGGAGAAAAGAGAAAGAAACCCCAAGGAAAAGGAGGCGGATGGTTTAAAACCGGCCTCCCCCCAGAGCGACGGGAAAACCAATGATCAAGGAAAGGGGAAAGAAGGAGACGATCCGAAGTTGCAAGAAGATGGGGATAGGGAACTGGGGAAGGGTGGGAAGGCAGGGCAGGAACTGGTGGAGGTCGGATCTTCAAGCAAAGAAGGGCTAAAGCCAGGAAAAGAAGTGGTTTAACAGAAGTTGACGGAGAATAGCGGGTCGGGTACTGAAAACAGTGGTCTGAAGGACAACCTGGGCCTGAACCTAAAGGAAATAGTGAATAAACAGGACTCGGAGGCCCTGGGGTTCGCTGCAAAAGATCAAGCTATCTCGCCGAATCTCTCTGAGCAAAATCCTGCCCCTCTTCTAAATAAGGAAAGGAATTCAGAGGGTATGAAATTAGAAGGAAATGATGGGAAGGAGGTTGGTGGGTTGCAAGAAGAAAAGTCCCAAATAGACGAAGGGAAGATCGATCTGCTTTTCAAAGCAATGGATAAGGTAGGAAAAAGGGACCAGAAAAGTGGGAAAAGAAAGAAGAAACCAACCCTGAAACCACAGGAGGGCCTGGTGAATGGCCAAAAAGGGTATGGGTCCGCTGATTCCAAACCTGATCCAACTAAGAAAAGTCGGTTAAGCGACGGTTCCAGTTTTTTCCGTAAGCATTTTGGTGGTGATTTGGAAAAAGAGATGGGAGAAGACCCCGCTCAACATGCAAATACGGGGAAAAGCAATCTGAAAAACCGCAAGGCGAGTTTGGATTGAAGTTTCGCTGCGCCTATGCAGACATTGGACCATAAGGACGAAGTCCGCAAAACAGTGAAGCAAGCGCTGGTCCCACTGATTTGTACCACCACCCAATTGGGTCTGTGTTTTCTCACAGCCAGACAACCGATGAATCTTTGGAACTACCAGTCGTGCCTGTGCAAACCCAACCAACTCAAGAGCAAGTGGTAAGTCTGACACAGTCAGTAATATTGAAGGGCATGGGTTCTGTCACCTTGCTGCAAGAACCTAGGTTGGGTAGGAATTTGGTGAAGATGCAGGATGGGGGAAAAAAAATCCTACATTATGGATTCCTGACCTTGCTTTCCTTGGAAGGCACAAAAGATCAGTGGCTCCAAGTTCATCCCCACTGGATGTCGATGGCCCCTCGTTTTGCAACAGAGGCAGATTTTCTGAAAGGCATCTGGTTGGGGAATGATCTGGATGCCAAACAAGTGCACTGGCTGACTGGTTAAACCACACAGATGCCCAATCACAGATTCCGCCAAGTGGCCCGGTCATTTGTGAATGGGACACAGACTCGAGCGTCTAGGATAAATTGGAGCAGGACGGCTCAGTATCAAACCTGGTCCTTACTGACAACCACATCCAATGTGCAGGCGGAATTGGCCATATAGATGGTCTTGCAGAGCAAGATTAGATTATTATCCTGGAATGTGCGAGGTTTGGGTGATACTTCAAATAAGAACAAAAAAGCAAGCGTGGCAGCGTTCATGCATACAAAGAACATACATATTGCTTGTTTACAGGAAATTAAACTGAAAGCAGAAAAGATCGAAGCCGCTAGGAATTGGTGGAAGGGGCCCCAGTTCTGTGCCCCTGTAGAAGGGACAAAGGGTGGGGTGGCTATCTTGATAAATAAAGATCTGGATGTTGAAGTAATAGACCATTTCATCGATCCAGAAGGGAGAGTTGTTTGGGTAAAGTTGGCAATAGAAAATGAAGATTGGGCTATAATGTCCTTATATGCCCCGGTGGAATACAAAGAAAGGAAAAATGTTTTTGCTCTACTACCGCCTTTGTTGCCTGACGTGGAGAATCTAGTTCTGGCTGCCAGTGGCTGGGGATTGGAACACTATCTTTGAGCCAGGATTGGACTCCCCGAAACCCATGCAGATAAGAGATGACACAGCTATGCTTTCGGCTTTGAAAGAATCCCGGTCACTAAACGATGTCTATAGAATACTAAATCCAGATTCTTCGGGTTGTACTTGGTTTGGACCACGACCTTCTCCCACAACTCCTCAGCCTAAAAGAAGGTTGGACTTCTTCCTGGCTAGAGGATCACTATGGGACAGGTGCATGTGGTGCGACACCTTAGTTTCCTACTTATCTGACCATGCGCCAGTGGTAATGGATATTCTTGCTAAAGATCAGTTTGAAAAAGTTTGCCCTCCCTTTCGTTTGAATGTAAACCACCTAAAGGATAAGGGTATCATTGAATGGGTGGAGACTCGGATGAAAGCTTGGATGGATGCAAAAGACCTATTCAGCCAAGAAGGGGAGTGGGCTGGAGTAGGGCTAGGGATCATTACCGCAGCACTTGAAGCCTTTTCAAGGATGAAGGCGACTAATATAGATTGGGAAGAACAGAAAACACAACAGACTGTGAAAGAAGCAGAACTGAAAATGAAGGGTGACCCCTTCACTGAATACTATCGGGCAGAACAGAGGAAAATACACCTAGCCTCGTTGGAGAGATTGGAGACAAAGAAGCAAGAGGAGTGGCTAGAGTGGTTAAGGATTAGGGGTGTAGTAGGGTATGATCGAATGACCAAGATCACCTTCCGCAGTCTGATCCTGAGGCAAGCAAAACCGGTGGTAAGGGAACTGGTCCACCCGTTCAGTCTAAATGCACCAACAGCAACTAACATAGACGACATGTGTGCTTATGCCAAAGAATATTATTAGGATATCGTTTCCACCAGAAGACCCTGGGAAAATGCAAGTACTGACCTTTCATTGTCGTCATCCTTTTGGGAGGGCATGGCGTTGAGTCTCCTATTGGAAGGCAAGAAAAAGTTGGATGCCCCCTTTACTACGTTGGAATTACATAAAGCTGCAAAGAACATGGCTAAAGGGAAATGTCTGGGGTTAGATGGGCTCCCGGTGGAGTTGTTCTTGAGCACCTGGGAAGCCTTTGCTCCTTTTCTATGTCAAGTCTTTAACAATTGTTTGTTAACCTGCCAATTACCGAAAACATGGTTAACTGGTGCAATCTCCCTCCTCTACAAAAAAAGGGGATAAGAGGGAGGTCAAAAACTATAGGCCAATTTCGGTCCTGAACGTAGCCTATAAGATTTTGGCCAAAGCTCTTGCAACCAGATTGTCGGAATTTCTACCAGGATTTGTGGGGAAGGAGCAGGGAGCCTTCGTAAAAGAGAGGTCCATTTTCGAGAATATCATGTCATCGATCCAAGCCCTTGAAATCATAGGCAGAGAGCAGAAGAATGTGGCCATGTTACTGTTGGACATGGAGAAAGCTTATGATAAGGTCGGGTGGGCCTTTGTTTTCACGACACTAGATAAAATGGGGTTCGGAGGGGGATTTTGCAGATGGGCGAAGGCGATGTATACGGATGCCTCCTCAGTTGTGGTGGTGAATGGTCAGCTGTCATCCGAGTTCCCTTTAACTAGGTCACTTAGGCAGGGCTGTCCGTTAGCCCCCTTACTTTTTGTTACGCAATTAGAAGTTTTGTTGTTTAATATTAGACATAATCCTAGGATCGTAGGACTGCACCTCCCTCCAAGGATCAATTGGAAGGGAGGGGTCATAACGGACGATCTAACTGTTGCTTGCATTAATGATTCTAAGGCCTTGGAAGAACTGAAAAAAGTTTTGGATATTTACTGTGAGTTGTCGGAGGCCTCCATTAACTGGGAAAAATCTGTGTTTTTACTACCCCAATGTTTCGATCTGGAGGTATATTGGGGGCTCCGGCGAATCCTTGAAATTGCATCAGAAAGGTTACTACGGGTATAGGTATCCCTCACTGAATGTGTGGCCTCACAAGATACTCTTCTATTGGCAAAAGTGGTGGCCAGGATTAATGGTTGGGCAAGCAACCATCAATTGTCTTCATTCGGAAGGGCGCTAGTCTTAAGCTCAGCTGCCTTCTCTTTTTTTTTTTTTTTTTTTTCTTTTTTT